AAAAACCAGACCCAAAACACATCGTCAGGCTCCATCCTCTTCCCAAGAGCAAGGCTGGAAATGCTCAAGGCTGGTGAAAGAAAAGCTCCCCAGCAGCCTAGAGCTGCAACCCAAGACTTCCTCCGCTGATTTGGAGAAGAAAATAGTTTTTCCAAAGGTCTTGAGCATCTTCTTATAGGTAAGAGAAAGCAGCATCCAGGTCTTGTAGAAACATCTGGCAAAGCTGAGGGTGCTTCACAGGCCGAGGAGGACAGGTCTGCCCTCGCCGTGGGGTGGAGGGCATTTGGACACTTCAGAGCCAGATTAAACCCTCCAGTACAGCCCTTTTCTATGGGATGAGAATGAGACTTGATGGTCTGGGAGGGCTCTTCCCTTCCCAGGACAGAGTGCTTTCCAGAATGAGACTGCTCTTGATGAAGACAAACCCCTAAAGCAAAGCTAAGGCGAGCCCCTCGTGGGACGCTGGCAGGGATATGGCCGATGGAGCAAACCCAGTCTTCCCTCCTGCAGCCCAGCACACGGCTGCAGCACCAGTAATCCTCACAGCCAGGCAGATGGCATTTTAAAAATTAATCTTTTTTGGCTTGGGTAGGCATATTTCTAAATCTCTCCATTCCCATCTCCTCATTTCAGTCCTGTCGGCATCACCAGGGTGGTCCAGTCCTTTCTAGTATGGAAAATACCAAGGCAGCAGCCTTGCCCGACCCCTAAACAAAAATAAAACCAGCGTATTGAAACACAGGGGCATTGCTTAGCTGAGATATCAGCTGTGCCAAAAAAAGCACAGCTCCCTGCTCCCTTCACTCCTCCGAGAGCTGGGATTCACCCTTCTGCTCCAGCTAGACTAAACTCCCCAAAAAGATAGGGGAGCCCCAAAGGCAAGCACAGCTCTGGAACCAGTCAGGCTGGGAGTGCGATGCCCACCCCCCAAATCCCTGCAGGGACAGGGGGATGAGCAGTGGGGTTTCAGGTGTTTCTTCCTCCCACAGTGCCAAAGGGGCCGGGGCATCATTGAAGCTAATCCACAGTGAGCGGAGGGATGCACGAGCAGCAGGAGGTGTGCTAGAGGATAGCTCCAGGCCTGCGTTTGGGATGCTGGCACAGCAGCGTGGATGGCTCTGCTGTGCCATCACCGGCTGCTCACTTCAGTCCTTCCCCCCTCCTGGCTCCCCACAGTCCCCCCTGTCCCAGCTGGACCAGTCACCAGGCCCCCACCCCCCAGACACGGGGGTGATGTTAACAGCACGCGAAGGGTGGGAGACATTTCTAGCACAGGTCTCCGGGAAGATCCTCTTGCCTGAGCCCTTCTCCATCCTCCCGTCCACGCCAGGGTGGGAGGTGCAAAGCTAAGAAGCTGAGCACGGCCAGAGCGAGGGGCAGCTATCCCCACACCCTGGGGACACCCTCCTCCACAGGGGTCTTGCCCCAAATACACAAGGAAAACCCCACCACCACCCGGCCGCTCACCTGTACGTCCTCCCTCGCACCCTTGGCTGCTGGCCTCTGTAGTAGCCCCCGCGCTGGGCTAGCCCTCCCCGGGCTCGGAAGCGGCCCTGGTAGCCCCCACGGTCGGTGGTGCTGATGCCTGGCATGTTGGTCCTCTTGGGCAGCACCTGGAAGGCAGGAGGTGGCTGAGCCAGAGCTGCCGGCACCGGGGTTTGGCACAGCCCCACAAGGGGTGCTGGGAGGGATGGATGCAGCACCCCAGGGCCTCATCCAGCTCTTACCTTAATGACCCGGCCTCTGAACACGCTCTCGTCCAGCTCCACCGCAGCCTTCACCGAGCTCTTCTCCTTGAACTCGATGTAGGCGTACCTGCAAGGCGATGGGGTGAGCAGAGCCCCAGGCTGGGGAGCACAGGGCAGCGCCCACCCCCCCCAACACACACACACAGCACTGACCCTTTGGGATGCCCCGAGAACTTGTCGCAGAGGATGGTCACTCGGTTGATCTGCCCGCAGCTGTTGAAGTGAGACTCCAGCTCTTCCGCCGTGCCCCCATAATCCACCTGCAACGGCAGCCCCGGCCCCTCCAGCACCACCAGCCAGCCCCCCCCCCTCACCCCCCTACAGCTTGTGGGTCTGCATTCGCACATCACAGGAGGCAAAGGGCCCAGCTGACCTCACTCACACCTTGCCACCACAGCTCCACCAGCTCCTGAGGTTCAGGAGACCCATCCAGCTTGGAAACCCCAAATCCAAGAGACAGCTCCCCTCGCTTTGCAGAACAAGCAACATCACGCAACCCACAGCTTCCAACGGGGTATTTTGGGGAGCTGACACCTGCAGTAGATTATCTGCAGGTGGCTGAGGATCACGGGCAGATGCTGAGCCATATTCCCAGTCTGGGCTGGGCAGAGGAGAAGCATTTGGGATGGGACCAGCCAGCCTTTGGTGGGGGGGTAGATGGACCCCTGTGCTAGGGAACTCCGATATCCATCGGGCTGGGCAGCGAGGTGAGCCCTGCCCCAGGGTCTCCCACTTACATTGCCCACGTAGATGGATCGCTGGTCAGCCTCCATCTTCTCCTCGGTTGTCTTTGGGAAGAGACCTGCAGAGACAAGGGCTGGATAGTCACAGGAGTCCCCTACCAGAGGGACATCTGTCCCTGCAGGTCTGCTCCCAGCGTGGCCACCACCCAGCTGACACACTGCAAAGCTCCTCAGGTCCATGGTCATGTCCAGACATTCCCAAATCCCCACACTGCTGCTGCCTCCTCCATCCCCTTGCCTCCTCTCTCTTCACAAAAAAAAAAACAAAACACCCACAGGGTGACTGCTCTGCTAGTGCTGTTAGTGCTAAACTCAATTACTTAATTAAATTAAATTAATTCACTGCATCTTGGCCTGCACAGGTTGGAGGTAAGAGTGGATATAACCTGCACGAGAACCATGCCATGTCTGGGACCCCATTCCCTCACCCACCTTACGTGCCCAAGTCCAGCCACGTGCTCTGGCTTCAAGTGCCCCAGAGGTGTCCCTGGGGGCACAGCATCACCCAGGGACGGCCCGTACCTGCCTCCAAGCTCATGATGAGGTGACTCTCAGCTTCCAGCTGCAACTTCTTCTGCCTCTCATCCTCCTTCTCCATCTCCCGCACTCTAGCTTTTATGGCCTCCAGCTCCTGAAACCCAAACCAAGACTTGGGTGAGCAGCACACGGAGCAGGGACACCCCCACCCCAGGTTGGGACATCGCAGTGGTGCACAGCATGCGCCTCCACCAGCAGTGCCCTCCCAGGCTGGGGACAACAGCCTGTCCCACCAAAGGGGAGTTCGGTTCCCAGCTCCATTGGGGAGAAAAAAACAGGTAAATATTTCCTTTCCCACACCTGCTTGTGAAGCAGAAATACCCCAGCAGCACCAGAGCTGCCGGAGGGAACTGGAGGTTTAAGCTGGTGACAAACAGGAGCCATTTACTCTTGCTCAGCCAGGCAGACATCTCAGCAGTGAAAGCGAAGCAGCAGGATAGTGACAATTCAATTTCCAGCTTCTCAGCTCAGGGATTTTAACATCAGGGGCCCAATATTATTCTTATTCTTTATTTTTGGAAGCGCTTGAAGGGAGGTGTAGAAAGTTTCCCATTTCCTCAGAGAAACAAGGCAAATTGATTCCCCCCTCAGCCAGGCACTCACTGGGTCCAGCACTGCCAGCTCCTCTGCGCTGTTCCCTTCCAGGTGGCTCAGGTCCGAGTCGTCATCTGCAGCCCTCCGCCGAGCTGCCATCCCTGTCACACCCCAGGACACCTCTCCTGCTGCCAGGGACGGCGGGTCCTGCCACCAGATCCCTGAAGCGTCCAGGAAAAGAGGACTGGGCAGGAACAGGGGCAAAAAGCCATTAAACAACCAACCAGCCATTTAACACAGGCCCCAAAGCAGAGGGTGCTCCCAGCAGAAGGATGAACAGGTACTGCTGAAGCAGTTTGCGCGCCGTGCTGCCGGCAGGCTTGCAGCAAGACCCCAGAACCTGCAGGAGCGAGGGCTCCTGAAAAGTCTCTGCTTCCTGCTGAGCCACTTCCCACCTCAGGTGAGGGAGCAGGGGACCTGGAAGCAGCTTCCATTGGGTGGAAAAAAAAAACAAAAAACAAAAAACAAAACAAACCCAAACAAAAAAACCCAAAACCCAAAGACCAAAAAGCCCCCAAAAAACAGATGCAAGCATCACAGCCTGCTGGCAGGGAAGGGGAGGAAGAGGCAGGTTCTGCCTCCTCCACCAGCAGAGCTCTCAGGCCCACTGAGGGACAAACTCTCCCACTCACGAGTGGGAAGCTGACCCTGCTCCAGCCTGGGGAGTCTGGCACTGAGCTGGGCCCCACCCCGGTGCCACCCCCCCCCCGGGCCCACCTCGCCCGGCCCCCAGACATGCTGCGCTGCCTCCGCGGAACCGGCGGGACCAGCGGAGCGCCGCCACGTGCGCCTCTCCCGCCGCCACGTGCGCCTCTCCCGCCGGCGCGCCACTTTCAGACATCAGGAGCCAATCAGGGCCAAGCGCGCCGCCAGGCCCCGCCCCGTGCCGGCAAACGCGGGGGAGGCGGCCCTGCCCGGCCGTGATCCCGGGGTCGCCGGTTCGAGCCCCGGCGGCGGCGGCAGCGGACACGCGCGTGCACCCGGGAACGACACGCGTGGCCAGGCGGGGGCACGCCTCACCCCACCCCGTGTTTGGGGACTTCCCCCCCCCCCGACTCTCCTTGTCCACTGACCCCGCTGGTGGTGCTGGGGACCGCAGCCAACTCCCGGCGTCTCCCCCCGGCGCAGGGCGAGCAGCGGGGCACCCCGAGGGGGCGCAGCACCTGCAGCGGGGAGCGGAGATCCCACTGGTTTCCCTAGGGACAACCCTGAATGCACCCCCACTGTGGACACCCCCTCTTCAAAGCTGGACACGGGGCAGTGACCAACCCCAGGGCTATAATGACCCCTCTGAGGTTTGAGGGGTACGGGGTGCAGGGTGTTGCCGGGAGAGGGGGGTGAGGGCCCCCAGCACAAGCCCAGGCTACGGAGCCTCCAGTTGATATTAAATTGTCTTTATTACACAGATACAGAGTTAAGAACAGACATAACCTGAATCATAAAGTTTACATCTTTCACAGGTAAAACATACAGTACACTTAGAGAAAGCAGGAAACAGCAAAGGGCTGGGGGGGGGACAGCATGCCGAAGGAAAGTCCTACCACGTCACCTCTCTGGGCTGGCCCCCAAAACCCACGCAGTGGGGCAGGGCAGGCTGCTGCCGTGCCCACCCAGCCCTGGTGGGGGGCTCTGGTTTCCAGCCCCTCCAGGGACCCCCCCGTGCCCTGGCGTCCCCGTCCCCGGGGCTGGCAGGGTGACACGGGCAGGGCTTGCACGGGACCGGGGAACCGGGTGCTGCCCACACAGCTGTGGGTGTTGGGGGGGGACGGAGGCACAACACTTCCCTCCCCAGGGCCGTGGCGTTCGGTGGCATCAGAGGAGCCCCCGGGGCTGCTACTGTGGAGGGGACACCCCAGCACAGTGCCTGGGACCTGGGGACAAGGTGGCATCTTGTCCCCGATCTCAAACCCACCGCGATACAGCGGGGCACCCCGAGGAGACAGCGGGGGGACCCCCGCAGGCCTAGGAGTGGGGTGGCTGGGGGTTCTGGCAGTGATGGAGCAAAGCCCAGGCAGGGGTGGGACCCCCACCCCGGGGTGCCCAGCCTTGCCAGGACGTGGCACTTTGGTTTCAGCTGGGATTTGGGGTTGGGAATGCGAGGAAGCAGCTGGAGAGACCCTCGCCCGCCGGGGATGGGGCCACACTCGGTGCTGGAGGTCTCTCCTGCCACCTCCTCCAGCCTGGTGCTGCACCCAGCACCCAGCACCCAGCACCCAGCACCCAGCACCCTGGGCTCTGCCTCCCCGCGGGGACCTGGACCTCAGGCAGGCTGTCCCCAGGCCACCAACACCATCCCCCGGTCACAGCGGGGAGGAGAGGGGGGAAACCCAAGAAGGGGAGCTGTGGGTGGCCACGGGGACCCGTTCTGGCAGAGGGCTGTGCCTGGCACCCCATGTCCCCAAGCTGCCCCACAGCCACCAGCGTGGCCCCATCCCCTCGTCCCGGCTGTGCCAGCACCGCGCGGCTCATCCGTCTGCCGTCTCCCAGATGCCACCAAGCCACCAAAGGACACGGCTCGGGCACAGCACGGGGCATCCCCTGGCACGCCCCAACACCGGTTTGGGGCAAAACCCCACAAAAGCACCCACCGCTCCGGCCAGCGCCTTCCCGGCCGCCACGGCCCCCCCCGTGCCCTCATCGCTCCGGCCCCACGGCCGCACCGCCGCTGCCATCCTCCCCGCATCACTAATTTTTTTTTTTTTTTTGGGAAATATTACACTTTAAAGCTGTCGTTCTGGTTTGGACGTCTGCTAGCGCCGCACCGCCCGTCCCCTCCCTCCCTCGGCTTTTGGTTTCAATGCAAGGTTCTGTAGGGTATTTTTATTATTATTTAAAAAAAAATATATATATTAAAAAGAAAAAAAAAAAAAAAACAAAACAGAAGGGAGTGGAAACAAGAGCAATCTCTGTGGAAATGCTCTCGTCCGTGGTTTCCTGGCGAGGTGGAGGTAGAGAGGCAGAGCCCCAGCGCAGAGCAGGGCCAGGGACACACGGGGACACGCGGGGACACACGTGGTGGGAAGGGCAGGGACGGGACGGACACCCCGGAGAGTAGGCGGCCCCGCAGCAGGTGCATCTGCAATACTCTTATATATTACCTCTTCTCAGGAAACGTAAGAAAAATAGACAATATTACATATGTCACACCATAAATAAAGTGAACGGTCACTCGAGGGCCATCCGGTAAAGCTCCCAGACTCAGGGTGCACAGAAATCCCCCCGGGGACATGCACCGAGACCTCAGGGTGCACAGAAACTCCCCGGGGGGATGCACAAAGGTCTTGGGGTGCACAGAAACTCCCTGGGGGTGGGGGGGGGTGTGCACCGAGACCGCAGGGTGCACAGAAACCCCGCCGGGGGGATGCACTGAGGTCTTGGGGTGCACAGAAACCCGGCCCCGAGCCCTTCCCTCCTCTTCCTCCCCTACAGAAAACACATAGGATGGTTTTTGCAAATGCGGAAAAACTACAGCTCCTATCGAGCACACGACTTCTGTTCGCCTTCGGGCAGCCTCGCTCCCCCCACTCCACAGCCTCCAGCGGGTTCTCATCATCTTTTATTTGGCAAATGTCTCTTATTATTATCACTATCATTATTAATTTTTTTTTTATTTTTTTTTTTTTTTTGGACCTCTGCAAAACACTATTTACATTCACATTAGCATCCTGCCCCGCGCGGGGCTTCCCTCCTCTCGGAGCCGGGGGACTTTCCGTATTGCACTCCCGTCCTCTGCGCTTTGTACAACGATGTGAGAAATACAAAATAATCAACATCATCCTTGGCTGCCTCCTCGGCCAGGAAGGAGGTGGCGTTTGCTTTCCTTTCCTTTTTCCTCTTAAAAATCCTTGCAAAATAAATCCGACATGGGTTGTGGGAGCAGCCTGGCAGCAAGGGGCTGGGGGGGTCCGGCTGCAGGCAGCCCCCGACGGCTTCAGGAAGGGAGAAACCCAAAATCTGTCTTTTAATCTCTTTTTTTTATTCTCTTTTTCCAGGGTGGCGGCTGCGGGCAGAGGTAGAGATGTGCCGGCTCCGGCTGCGCCCACCTGGGCAGTTCTCAGCCACCATCTCCCCCTCCCTCACCTCGGGGGCTCGCTTTTTTTTTTTTTTTTTAAAAAAAAAAAATTTTTTTTTTTTTTTTGCTTTATTTTAATAGAAACTCTTTAAAGCCCCGGGGGCGCGTCCGTCCATCCTTGTGGGGAGAGGAAGGAAGCGACAACAGAATGAAACGAACTTTGGCAGTGGAGAGACGTTTGGATCTTCCTTGGTTTTGGATTTCCTTTGGAGCAGAGGTGAGTCTGGTCTGTTCTTGGCTAGCTAGCAAGGTAGTTACAGGTGAGCGTCCGTCACGCGGCTTGACTTGGTGTCATCTGGTTTTTGGATTTTTCTTTTTTTTTTTTTTTTTCTGTTCTTTTTTTTTTTTTTTCCTTTTTTACAATTTCTTACTTAAAGCCAAAGAGTCCGACGTTTTCTTTTTTATTTTCTTTATTTTTTTTTTTTTTACAAAAAAAAAAAAAAAAAAAAAGGAAGAGAAAGATGAAGAAAAGAAGTTTCTTTCCTCCTGCCAAGCCAGCCCCTTGGCAGCGCCGATGTGGGCTGGGGCTGGGCTGGCCTCTCCCCACGTCACTACGTGGTGAGGTTGCAGCCAAATCCCTTGTCTGGAAAGAAAAAAAGAAAAAAAAAAAAAAAACAAAAAGAAAAAACAAAACAAAAAAAAAACCCCAACCAACAAACAAAAATTCCCCGAACCACAATCCCCCAACCGACTGAAAACCAACCAAAAAAAAAAGCTGAAACAAAGACCGAAGAGAGAACAGAGAAGACCGGTATTTGCCTTAACTCCACTTAAAGCCCAGTTTGAGGATCCGTGAGGATTATTTGTGAGAGCTAGAGAGGTCGTTTCGGAGGTCACACGAGTCAGGTAGCTGAGGAAATTGCATCGAGTGCAGTCCGTGTCTTTTGGAGAGCGGCGGTAGCAGCGGCTCAGCGGGACGCGCTCTCCAGCGGAGCCGGGGTGGCCGGCGTGCCGGCGCGGGAAGCGGCCGCCGAGCCCGTTTCGCTGGGGCTACTGGCCACGGTGGCCACGCCGTCGGGCTGGCCAGGAGCCGGCGGTAGCCCCATGCCGGCGGCGGGGGCGGCGGGGGCCGGCAGCCCTTGCAGAGTCTGCCCGCAGACGTGGTGGTGCTTCTCCCAATCCTTGTGCTGGCAGAAGGAGCCGCAGTAGCGGGCGGTGTTGCAGCCGCTGCAGGTCTCGCTCGCTTTGCGCCCGCAGTTCCAGCAGCTCTGTGGGGAGGTAAAGATAAATGTCAGGCTCCTATAGTGCACCCCAATTCTGGATCGTGCAACCCCCATTCTGGACCAGGCATCTCTCATCCCAGACTGGGCATCACTAGCCCGGACTGTGCACCTCCATCCTGGATCGTGCACCTCCATCCTGGATCGTGCACCCCATTCTGGATCGTGCACCTCCAACCTGGATCGTGCACACCATTCTGGATCATGCACCCCCATCCTGGATCGTGCACACCATCCTGGATCGTGCACCCCCATCCTGGATCGTGCACCTCCATCCTGGATCGTGGATCGTGCACACCATCCTGGACCGTGCACCTCCATCCTGGATCGTGCACACCATTCTGGATCATGCACCCCATTCTGGATTGTGCACCTCCAACCTGGATCGTGCACACCATTCTGGATCATGCACCCCCATCCTGGATCGTGCACACCATCCTGGATCGTGCACACCATCCTGGATCGTGCACCCCCATCCTGGATCGTGCACACCATCCTGGATCGTGCACACCATTCTGGATTGTGCACCTCCATCCTGGATCGTGCACACCATTCTGGATCGTGCACCCCATTCTGGATCGTGCACTTCCATCCTGGATCGTGCACACCATTCTGGATCGTGCACCCCATTCTGGATCGTGCACCCCCATCCTGGATCGTGCACACCATTCTGGATCGTGCACCTCCATCCTGGATCGTGCACCCCATTCTGGATCGTGCACCCCATTCTGGATCGTGCACCCCCATCCTGGATCGTGCACCCCATCCTGGATCGTGCACCCCCATCCTGGATCGTGCACACCATCCTGGATCGTGCACCTCCATCCTGGATCATGCACCTCTATCCCAGATCATGCACCCCCATCCCAGACTGTGTTCCCCTATTCTGGACCGTGCATCACCATCTTGGACCGTGCACCTCCATCCTGGATCATGCACCCCTTCCTGGACCATGCACCCCCATCCCAGACTGTGCTCCCCCATCCTGGACCATACATGCCCATTCTGGACCATGCACCCCCATCCTGGACTGTGCTCCCCCATCCCAGACCATGCTCCTGGCCCATGTATCCCCATCCTGGATTATGCACTCCCATCCCAGACTGTGTTCCCCTATTCTGGACCGTGCATCACCATCCCAGATCATGTATCTCCACCCTGGATCGTGCACCCCTTCCTGGACCATGCACCCCCATCCCAGATCATGCACCTCCATTCCAGACTGTGCTCCCCCATCCTGGCCCACACATACCCATCCTGGCCCATGCACCCCCACCCTGGCCCATGCACCCCCATCCTGGACTGTGCTCCCCCATCCCAGACCATGCTCCTGCACCACACTCCCCCATCCTGGACCGTGTCCCCATCCCCAACTCCGTTCAAATCCCCTCTTCCTCCCGTCCCACACTGTTGCTGCAGCCCCCCTCCCCGCCCCGACACCCACTCTCCCACGCTGCCAACTCGATTGCAAAAGCAGCAGGTCCCAAATGCCCGTTCCGCCACCAACCCCGTCGTGTGTCCCCCCCCCCCCTCCCCCGACTTGCCCCCACCTCGCTCGAGTCCTCCTGCTGATTGATGACGGTCAGGGCGTCCTCGGAAGCCTGGCGCTTGGCCTCGGCCAGGGCTCGCTCCATCTTGGCTCGCTCCGTCGTGATCAGCTCGTGGGCTTTCCGCTCGGCGTCCGACACGGCCTTCTGCAGCTCGGACATGGCCTGACGCTTCACCTCGTTCACAGCTTCTTCTGGAAGGAAGGGCGGCCGAGCGTGGCACGGGGCGCTCGGCGGCAGCACCACGGGCGGGCAACCCCACCCTGCCCCCCGCTTCCAGCGCCGCCGGCACCCCGACGCAGCGCGGGGAGGGGATGCAGCAGAGACCCTGCCAACTCGGCGCACCGACGGGCGCCCCACACTCACCAGCTTTCCTCCAGATCTCCTCCGGCATGTACCCGGAGAGGGGCCGCGGCGCGAACTCCCGGTGAGCGTCTGCGAAGGAGAGGGGGGTGACGCCGTTAGGAGACGCCGTCCCCCTCCGAACGCACCCGCCGGCGCCGGCCCCCCCACCCCCCCCACCCCGCACGCACCCCGCGGCCTCGGGGGTCAATACCTAACTGGGGTGCCTCGGAGGCGGAGGAGCTGTTGTGGGGGCGGGCGGAGGGGGGGCTGCCTTTTTTCATGTCCTCGGCATCGCTGTAGCGCCGGATCCAGTGGTTGAGCTCCTCGCGGTCTGCCTCCTGGCACCGCCGCAGCACCGTCAGCGACCGGCGCGTCTTCTCCACCATGTCCATGATGCAGTTCAGCAGCTGCGGGGGGGGGGGGGGGGGGGGGAACATCAGGGTGATAAAGGGGACACGCACACTCTGCTGCAGGCAACTGGGGGGCTGCAGTGCCCAGCGCTGCGGGGCGGGGGGAGATTTGAGCGGTGCGAGGGGTGGTGTGTGGCTGCAGGGAGCGGAGGATGCTCAGGAGAAAAGCTTTTTTTTGGAGGGGGGGGGGGGTGTGGGGGTGTGATGATGCAGGGGTGTGGGGGCACTACGTACGTTGTTGAGGTGTTTCCACTCCTCCGCCCACTCCCGGTCGGTGAGCCGGTGGTCAATCACCTCCTCCTGCCGCGTCCCGTGCACCGCTGCAAGGCAAGTGGGGGGGGGGGTGGGGGGGTCAGCCCACCCCCCCCGGCAGTCCCCCCCCCCCCCTCCACATCCTGTGTCCCCTCCACCCCCCTGGCACTCACCGGCGGGCCGCTGGCGCTCGCGGAGCTCCCGGGGGTCGGGGTGCCGATAGGCGTCGCGATAGTGATGCGCCATGGCCATGTCCTCCAGGCGATAGTGCTGGGGCAGGGGGGGGGCGGCGGGGGGGTGCCCCAGCCCGTTGGGTGGGTGGCTCAGCCCGTTGCTGGGGCTGTAACGCTGAGCCGGGCTCATGGTGCACGGCCGCTTGCTGAGGTGCTCGGGGTGCAGAGGGTCTCGGTCCAAACCGTTCTCTTTGGTCCTGGGTGGGGGGAGAGGAGGTCGGTTCCCACCGGGCGCCGGCACCCATCACCCCGGAGGGGTGGGATGGTGGTGGGGGGGGTATCCCTGAAAAAAAATAACCCCCACCCCGCCCCCCCGCCCCTTCCAACTCCAACCCCAGCTCCTACCTGTCTGGCGTCCTCCTCTTGCCGCTCTCGCCCACCTCCAGGAGCAGCTCGGAGGAGTCGATGGGGGAGGAAGCGTTGGCGTCCAGCAGCAGCTGCTCGTGCTGGGCCAGGTACTGGGCCGGGGTCTGCTTGGCCATGCGGGCGCAGTGCAGCAGCTCCCGCTGCAGCAGCGGCAGGTTGGCCTGCGAGGGGGCCGGGGAGGGGACACACACACACACACGCTCACACACACAAAAAATCCAGTTCACGGCCACGCAGACCCCCCCGTCCCCCCGTCCCCCCGTCCCCAGGCAAATGCTCAGAGCCTCTTGCAAAGCCCGGCTGCCTGAGCGCAAGACCCCCCCTCCCCGGCACATCCCGGCTTTGCCCCCAGCCTGCCACAGTCAGGAGGCGTTGGGCTGGCAGGAGCCTTCCCTTTGGGGTCCTGCTCACCTTCCCCCCATGGGGTCATCCTCGCAAACCCCCCCCCTTCGTTACAGTGTGCCCGGGTGGGGGGGACACATGTGGCACCCCGCAGGGTTCGGCTACGTGCCGGCATGGGCACAGCTTCACCCCAGCCCTCCCTGCAGCCCTGCCAGGGGTTGCGGAGCATCAGCCCCTGGCCACGTCGGCCACCTCTGCCACGCTGTCCCCGTGGCTCTCACCTTGGGGGACCTGAACCCCCAGGCTGGGCAGCCCCCCCACCCCATCTAGCACCCATGGGGGCACGAGGACCGGCTGCAAACTCCCCACCCACCATGTCCCCCCATGGCACTGCAGCCCCTCGGAGCGTGCAGATCAGCAAGAATTAAGGAGCAGAGACCCTTTTTTTTTTTTTTTGCCCGGGCTCTCTGGTTGCCAGTTCTGGTTTTTCTCTTCAGGCAGCTGACCCACAGGCAAACCCCCATCTGCCCCACACGTTAACGCCCGAGCCCGAGATGCCGCTGCGGCGAGCGGGGCCGGACCCTCCCCAGCCGGAGGAAGAGGAGGAGGGGAGGGGAGGGGGGGGGAACAACCCCACAAAAACAACCAAACCCCTGAGTCTGGGAAGCACGCCGAGGCCGGCTGGTTGCAGTTAGGATAATGAGAAACATCTGGAGCCGGCGGTGGGAACAGCTGGGAGCGGGGTGCCAGGGTCGCCAGCCCCCGCGCACTTGGCAACGGGACAGCGGGGACGGCTCCCAGCCCGCCCCGAGCCACGGGGCCACCAGCACCCACTGGGACCCCACGAACCGGGGATACACCATCCCCCTGCTCCCGCAGACCCCGTGCTCCCCTGCAAACCGCGGCAGGAGGGGTGAGGGGGCTTTCTCGTCCCCCCCAAACCCCCCCAGCTCAGCCCTGGCGCGTTTCAACTCTACCAGGAGCAAACGGCTCCGGCAGCTTTGCAGGCAGATTCCTGCGGCGAGCACAGACCTCCGCTCCTGGGGGGGGCTGGGGATGCAGAGGTGGAAGAGGGGCTTTTTTTTTTTTTTTTTTTTGCACTTTTTCATTATTCCTCTGCTAACGAGGGCCAGGCGATGCCGGGCTTGAACATCTGCCGGCAGCGCCGGTGCCGCCAGGCGTGCCAGCGGTTGGCAAATCCCTCCGGAGCAGGGTGACAGTGCAGAGTCAGCGCGAAATTAAAAGGCAAATAAAACAAAACAAAACGAAAAAAAAAAAAAAAAAAAAAAACCACCGAAAAAAAAGAGGGATTTTTAATGAATTGCAAATGGTTACCAGCTGGGCTGAACCCCTTGCTTTATTGCAAACAGCCCTGGCCTCGTGTGACTCCACATGTGCGAGGAGCTGGGTGCGCAGGGGGGGACGCACGTGCCCCGGGGGCACCCTGACCCCAAAGCCCCCCCCCCGCCTCCCCGTTTGCCGGCGATACCGATGGTAACCCCGACGTCCCCGCGGCGCCCGGACTGGGGCACCCACCTTGAGGAAGGGGATGACGAAGGGTCGTAGCGGGAAGTTGGTGGCCTCCTGAAGCTTGGCGTGAAACTCCTCGATGGTGAGCGTGGAGTTCTGCGGGGGACAGCTCGGGCTCAGCACCGCCAGGCACAGCCCCACGCCTGCCCTGCACCCCCCTGGGGGATGTTTTGTTGGTTTTCCCCCCCATTTCTGCTCCTCTGCCACGCTCAAGGGACAACCATGCTCAAGGCTTTGCTGGCGATGCCAGCAGCTCAGCCTTACACTGTGCTGTGCGGATCCCAGGAGACGCCGGAAAAAAAACATTTTTCCAGGATTTAGGGGAATCCAGCACCACCAGGACCCTCTCTTTTTATTTCTCAGCATCTCCATCCCACAAGGAGAACACAGGCTCCCCAGACACGGGCATCGCCCCGCCAGCCACCCCCCCCCCCCGCGCCCGGCAGACGTACCACGAGCCCCAGGACGAGGGTGCGCACCCGCTCCCCGATCTCGGGGGAGATGTCGTTGCCGAACTGCTGCAGCGTGGTGAGGAAGCGCTTGAGCTTGGAGAGCTGGCGGGCACCGCAGGCCGGCGGGAGCTGGTGGGTGGAGAGGGAGGCGGTGGAGGAGGTGGCCGGCCCGTTGCTGAACCCGTTGGGGGTGGAGGGAGCCCCATTGATGGCGGTCGGCGAGTGGCTGCTCCCGTTCATCACTGGGGGGGGGGGGGGGGTGGGGGGGTGGAGAGAGGGGACAGGAGGTCAGAGCGGGTGGCCGTGCCTCGGCACTGTGGGGTCAAGGCTGGGATGGGGGGACCGGAGCATCCTGTTGGGTCCCACGGGGCTGGCAACCCCCCTGGGAGGGATGCTGCTGCATCCCTGGGGCCGCATCCTGGCCCGGTCCCCGGTGCTGCGGAGGGCTGTGAGGAGGGATGGGATGCAGCACACGGCCCAGCGCAGCGAGGACCCGATCCTGCTCCTCAACATTCAACGCAGCCAAGAGAATGGGCTCCATCCTGCCCCTCTGGGAGCTGCTCAGCACCCCCCAGGGAGAAGCCACGAGCATTTCCTCCAGAGCCCAGCTGGGCTTAGCAGCACGGCGGCACCTCTGGCCCCACCGCGCAGGCGGGGAGGTCGAGAGCTGCCCAGAGCACCCCGCGCCAGGGATGGGGAGGGGACACCCCACCCCCCCCCGGGGGTGCCAACCTACGGCACGGCGAACCCCTCGCTCCTCTGCCAGCCCTCCGCGCGCACCGCAGCGACCTTCCCGCTGCCGGCACGGGGGGACGGCTCCGCGTCACCCCATCTCCCAACCGCGGCACCCAGGCACGCCCCGCGCCCGTCCCCGCGGCGCGCCGGGCACCCAGAGCCTGAGATCGCACTAACCTTGGGGTGCCTGGGCCCCCCTGCCTGCTTTGGGGGGCTCCCGCTCGCTCTACGGCCCGGCGGTATCGGCCGCCCGCTAAAGAGGTGCCGAAAATAACCCGGTGGCCACAACTGCTTTTATTCCCGTGACAGGTGCGTTACTAAGTTGGACGCCGCACGTGTCCCTCAGCCGGGACGGGGTTCGCATCCCCGTGACCCACCGGGGCAGGGCGAGGGGCTGGTGCGGGGGAGCGCACCCTGCCCAAGGCCCCCCGCCTCCGCTTCCCCGCCACGGCGTCACCGTGCCCCCCCACGGGACCCTGCACCTCGGGTCTCTCATGAGAGCGGATGCTTCATTTTACTTACAAAGACAGACCATCGACCATTTCAAGCAACCATGAAAACGGCCGCGAGGCAGAAACGTCGGAGGGCCAGCGTCTCGATCTGCAAGCAAAATAAAACACGCTATGATGAGAGAGCAGAGGGGGCAGCTCTCGGCCGGGGGGTCCCTTACGGGCAACGACGGCGGGGGCACGCGTGCCACGGGTGAAGCCACCTGGACCCAGGCACGCCGGGGATGGAGCCACGTCCCTGCATCCCACGGCAGCCGGAGGGAAGGTTCAAGGGATGCTCGGCTGCCTACCACGCTCCCCGCGTTTCGAGATCACCCCTGCACAGCCCCGGCGCGGGGGGTGGTTTACAACATTGCCCCGAGACCAAGAACAACCGAAACACCGTCGCGCTCCGGGGTGAGCCAGGGCGGAGAGGCTGCCCCTGAGTCCCACGCCGAGCCGAGCCCAGGGCCCCGATCTGCCACGGGGCTCAGATTAAAAAGTAAAACCCCTCAGAGCGCAGCCGAGCGCGAGCCGATTTCTAAGTCGAGAGCATCTGGCCGGGAGGGCGGCAGAGCCACGGTGGCGAGCGGCGGGGGGGCTGCGGCTCGGAGGCGGGGGGGTCGTTTTGGGGGTGTTTCCTTCCCCGCTGGGGTTTCTAAGCGAGAAGCAGCTACAAGCAAACCCTGTGAGTGCACGCGTGCCCGGGATACGTCTCGGCGGAGCTGGAGCAACCTCTTGGCATGGTCCTGCCGGGGGGGGAGCAGCCGCCCGCCCGGATCCTGCCCCGCGTGTGCCTTGCCCGGCCGTGTGCCGGGGCGGTGGCACCGGCACGGGCACCGATCCCCGGTACGAGCCTTGCGGGCGCGCAACGAGCCCACGTGGCACCGGTGCAGCCAGCGCGTCGGGGTTCAACGATGCTACAGAGACCGAGGACTCGGCCCTCGAGTCCCCGCTGAGTCCCCTGATGCCACCACGCTGTGGCCTGGGTAAGGCAAGGAGGTCCGTGCCGCCGCGGATGGCTGTGACACCGCCCTGCCACCGCCGGGTGCCACGCGTGGACGGGCAGGCAGGTCCCCACGCGCCTGGGACCCACAATGGGGCCAGCTCCGACCCGTGGGGACTCTCCCAACCCGCAGCATCCTCCTGCAGGATAGAGCGCCCGGGGCCACCCACTGCCCTGTGCCACCGTTTGGTGACCCCGTGGCAGGAGACCAGGACATCCCCGTCCCCAAACACTTGGCGGGGCACTGCTGGCGACGGGCAGTGCCACCGCAGGCGCGTGCGTGAGCTGGAGCTTGGGGTGCGCACCCCAAAGCCCTTCTCCGGTGCAAGGACGGGGGATGCCACCCCACGGCACGGCCAGCGCCACGCAGGGGTCCGAGGACGGCGCTGGGCCCGGGCGCAGCGTGTAACCCGGAGGCGAAGGGAGCCGGGCAGCCTCCCTGCCTGGCACCCTGTCCCCGTCCCCGCCGGCAGCCCGGTACTCACTGGTGTTTGGCGTGAAGGAGGGGTGGCGGGTGGCTCCCTGCGTGACGGCGGGCGGTGGCGGAGGCATGCTGGGCGGCGTGGACCTGGACTGCGTCTTCACGTCGGCCGGCGAGTCGGGCATGGTGGCGGCCCGCGTCTCCGCGTTATCTGCGGGGAGAGGGCACGGGGCGGTGAGCGGGGTGAGCGGGGACCCTCAGGGACCTCGGGGTGGTCTGGGTGTCACTGCCGGGCAGAGCTCAGGCGCCGAGCCCGGGGTGCCGTGTGCCTGCAGGGTGGTGACCGAGCTCCCCTGCACCCGCACGGCAGTGGGGGACGGTGCCCTGTGCCCGGCGCAGGTGCGGGGTGGTGGGTGCTGGGCCCCACGCCCGGGGCACAGCCCGGCCCCAGCACACACAACCACCGTGGGAGTCCCCGCAAAGCCATTGCTGTCACATCCCGGCGCCTGGTTACCTGCCCACATCTCGGGGAACCCCCGGTTGCCCGTCCCCGGCGGCTACGTGCTGGGTTGCCGTAAGCCCAGGCGGGGATTACGCACAGGCAGTAAATCGTGGTGTTTGTCACAGCCAGAGCGTGGTGACAGCGGTGTGACCCACCGCCGGCTGTCCTCCCGCAGCCCCGGGGACCCCCGCGAGGCGCCGGATCCCACAAACCGGGGAGCGCGGGGGGGCTCCCCGCCAGCACCGCGCTGGGCTCCCCGCCGCCGTCGCCGCCTCCCTCCCACCGCCCTGCGCTTGCAACCCCAAATAACACGCGGCGGCGGCGGCAGCATCCCCCAGGGGGAGCGTGCCAGCACCGTGTCCCCCCTCCCCATCCCGAGACGGCGGCGGCACAGCCCCGGTGCCAGGTTTCGGCCCCGCGGCTGCCGCGCCGGGAGGTGATGGGTGGCCGCAAGTGCCGGCAGCTGCGGCGATCTGTCAGCGTGCCCGAGCCCCCGCCGCCACCGGCCCCAGCCAAAGAAGGAAGAGGCCACCGTGGCCACCCCCCAGCCCCGCGCCCGGTCGGGGTCCCCGCTGCGCCCCGGCACGCTGCCCGCCAGGCCAGGCTGATAAACGCTAATCTAATATGCATGCTTAATCCGCCGCAACTGTTGTGAGATTAATTGAACTCTGCAAGAGCACATTGTCCGGGCTAAATAAATCCCCAGCAAGATGCTATCGGGGCCGACGCCGCGCGCGGGGGACCAGGAGATGGGACAGCCCGTGGCAAGCACCAAAATCTTGAGCAGTCACCATCGTGGTTCCACAGCATCCTCCGGGACGGCTCCGGCACCGTGGGAGCATCCCTCCCCGCCCACAGCACGTTGTAATCCCACAGACACCTGGATGTGCAAGCTCCTGTTTCCCTTCCCTCGCTGCCTTCTCCCACCCCAGCCACAGGAGAAACCCCGCGCCCGAGCAGCATCCCTCCCTGCAAAACAACGGTTTGTTTACAGGGCCTGCCATAATCTGAAAAACCACCTTTTCTTTTCCTTTTCACGGACGTGCCCATCTCCGGGCAAGGCTTCTCCAGCCTTCCAGGCTCCCCTCGTTAATGATCAGAGCAGGATCCAGCCCCGACGGCAGAGGATGAGCTGTGAGCGTGCACAGAGCGTGACCCAGAGCGGGCGGCTGCATCCGCAGCGCCTCGATCCGCCGGGTATCCACAGGATCCCACCTGGGCTCAGCATCCCCCGCCCGGGCATCACCCGCTGCCCAGCTCAGCAAAACACAACCTGCATCGCCCCTGCCTGCCAGCTCCTGGGCGCAGCGAGCGCGGCGAGGCATCGCAGCACGCTCTTCACCTCTGCAAACGCTGCAACCGCCCGCGCGCTCGGCCCGAGGCCCCCAATCCATGCAACGCCCGCCGGGCGCGGGGACACGCTGCACCAGCTTGGGGACAGCGGCTTGGGGACAGCGTGGCAGCGTGCCCAGCTGAGGGTACCCGCACCAGCTCGGAGAACCCCCCCAGCGCCGAGCGGCTGCGCCGGCCGGTTTGGCTCTGCCGCGGCGTGCGAGGAGGGAGGAGGCTGCAGGCTGCGAGATGTTCATCCAGCCTGCATCCCCAGCCCTGCCTGCATCCCCAGCCCTGCCTGCATCCCCAGGACCATCCCTGCCTGTTTCCCTGCCCCTGCCTGCATCCCTGTCCCTGTTCGTGCCTGCATCCCCAGCCCTGCCTGCATCCCCATCCCTGCCTGCATCCCCAGGACCATCCCTGCCTGCATCCCCATCCCTGACTGCATCCCTGCCCCTGCCTGCATCCCCAGGACCAGCCCTGCCTGCATTCCTGCCCCTGCCTGCATCCCCAGGACCAGCCCTGCCTGCATTCCTGCCCCTGCCTGCATCCCTGTCCTTGTTCGTGCCTGCATCCCCAGCCCTGCCTGCATCCCCAGCCCTGCCTCCATCCCCCAGGTCCATCCCTGCCTGCATCCTCATCCCTGCCTGCCTTCCTGCCCCTGCGTGCATCCCCAGGACCATCCCTGCCTGCATCCCCATCCCTGCCTGCATCCTCATCCCTGCCTGCCTTCCTGCCCCTGCGTGCATCCCCAGGACCATCCCTGCCTGCATCCCCAGCCCTGCCTGCATCCCCATCCCTGACTGCATCCCTGCCCCTGCCTGCATCCCCAGGATCATCCCTGCCTGCATCCCTGTCCCTGCCTGCATCCCTGTCCATGCCTGCATCCCCATCCCTGCCTGCATCCCCATCCCTGCCTGCATCCCCAGGACCATCCCTGCCTGTATCTCTGCCCCTGCCTGCATCCCTGGCCCTGCCTGCATCCCCCAGGTCCATCCCTGCCTGCATCCCTGCCCCTGCCTGCCTTCCTGCCCCTGCCTACATCCCTGGCCCTGTCCCTGTCTTCATCTCCATCCCTGCCTGCATCCCCATCCCTGCCTGCATCATCATCCCTGCCTGCATCCCCAGGACCATCCCTGCCTGCATCCCTGCCCCTGCCTGCATTCCCATCCCTGCCTGCATCCCTGCCCCTGCCTGCATCCCCGGCCCTGCCTGCATCCCTGGCACCACTCCCACCTCCATCCCTTTTCCTGCCTGCATCCCCAGCACCAGCCCTTCCTCTATCCCCATCCTCATCCCCCTCACTGTCCTGACTCCGTACGCATGCCCACGCCGAGGGGAAAACACAGACACACTCATTCTGGCACCAACACAGCTTTTCCACAGCTTCCCATCAAGAGGAAAGTTTCCACGAAGCTGAGCAAGCACCCGGGGAAACAGGGCCTGGCTCTGTTTTTCTTGTCTTTTCCTTTTTTTTCTCCAAGTCATAAATTTTCCCCGAGGTGTTTGCAACCCAAACACTGCTGTGCAGGCACAGGGACCAGACATGGCTCCAAACCCGATGGGATTTCTCAGTGCCTGCGCCCAGAAATGCTCAAAACAAACAGAGCTCGGGATGCCCGCAGGATCCGGCCACAGCCGGAGCGCCAACCCAGGTCCTTTGCGGGATGGAACGAGCTCCATGGTGGGTGAAGAGGATTTTGGGGGACACCCTGCAGCCTCCCAGCAGCACCTCCAAACAATATTTCCCCAACACGACTCAAACTCTGCTGGAATTTTTTTTTTTTTTTTTTTTTTTCTTTCTTTGGGGTAATTTGTCCCAGCCGCTCGGGGCTGTGTCTGTTTTCCTCCATCTGGTTTCCATTAGGCCTGTGCAGCCCAGATGAATAAGTAATAATATAAAAATAAAAGGATTAGTATTTTCTCCTTGCCTGGCGGGAGCAGGCTTCCCCCGCCCTGCCTCCTGGGGCCAGCGGATGCCGGACCCCGCACACCCCCTGCGCGACCCCGAGCCCCCCCATTTGTCACACCGGAGGGTTTAACCCCGGGCACGGTCCCCGCTGTGGTGACATGCCAGCGCGGCCGCTACCGGCTGATAAAGCCTGGCTTAGCCCCAGCTTACCCGCGGCACCCGGCCCCGCGCCACTCTGGCAGGGGTTTGGGGTTTGTGACCCCACTGGGCACCTGCAACCCCCAAATCACGCCAAGTTTGCCAGCGAGCACCCATGCATGGCACCCTGCAGCCTCAGGGACAGGTTCCAGCCTGGAATCTGCTCTCGCCCGTGGTCCTGGGGGGGCCCAGTCCCGCTGCTGCAGGTTGTACCCCAGCCTGGGGTACCCCCTCCTCACCCCCCCCCGCCAGGGAGCAAGCGGCCCCGGCTCTCTGCAACCTCGGGCAGGGAGCCACTGGGGATGGGGACAGGGCTGCGTCAGCCCCGGGGTGAGCCCACTGTCTGCGGGGCACCCGGGCTGGCTGCTCTCCTCTCCACCTTGGTGGGGATGGGGAGGGCAAGGAGCTGCCCTGGCTGCGGCCATCGGAAAGCTCCAGCTTCCCGCAGCCCTCCCCACCCAGGCCAGGCAAAGACGGGGTTAAAAAGGAACGAACAGCCCAGCATCCATCCTTCATGCTCTCCAAATGGCCACAAATGAAATCCAGATGCTGGAGGCCACGGTCTCCCCCCCCGAAGCCAGGCTGCCTCCGAAACAAAGGCAGGCAAGAATTCCTGCTCCTCAGCTGCCGCTGCCTCGGGGGCCAAGAACAACTCCCCAGTAAGATGGGGACCGAGCGGTCCCAGCTGGAGCACGTCAGGGAAGCGGGAATGCCGGCCACGTGCAAGAGCCTGGCCGAGGTGGTGGGAGCTTCAGGGCACTGTCGTCTCCATCCTCCCCCTGCAGCCATCCTGATCCCTTCCCCGGGGACGCGGTGACAATGGGGGGTAGGTGACAGCAGGCGGCTCAGAGGTGGCACATCCCCGGCGGCACACGGAGCGGGAGAGAGCAGGAGAGCGGCTGCGGGGTGCTGCCCACCCCCGGCACGTTTGGGGGATCCGAACCCCGGCACTCATCAGCACAAACGAAGAAATCTGATTAATTAAACCCCCTGCACAAGATGTAAATGAATCCGGATCCAGGACTGGGAAGCTCCGGTCGCAGGGAGCGGCTGCTGCAAAGACGACGGGACGCAGACGTGCCCGGGGTGCCAGGGGAGCCTTGAGGGATCCTGCTGGGATCTTCGCCGGGATGCTCGTGCCCCGATGGCACAAGCCTTGCTCTGCCCTGCTCCTCCAGCCCACGGGCGTGGCAGCAGCCTGGCCCCACGCGGGGGGGATGGCCCCACGCCAACCAGCCCACGGGTTTGGTCATTGCCCCTGAGGTTT